ATTTAACAGTGGTAGTCGGGAAAATTTATTCATATCCATCTCTCATACAGTGTAGTAAGATGCACTACTCCCAATCTCTAAAATCGGAAATTTTTTTTCATCGATTTTTTTCTCAAAACGGTACAATAAAGTTGCAATTCATCCATATATTGAAAAATGGTATTGATGAAAATGATGCTCAATCATCAACAGTAATTTCAAAAGCTATTGCTGAATCATTATATTAATCAGAACCAGAGATACATAAATTTACTCGTTTATTATCAAATCCAGAAATGGGAACAAGATCGTTTAAAACAAAAAGTTATTAAAATTAGTGGAAAAGGGAGTAATCAATTTTATTTCTTTCATATTAATTAAAATTTCTCTGAGCTGTTTTTTTTTGTTTTTTTTATAAGATGGTTCTGTGAAACTATTTGATGATGCATTAAATCCTTGAATACCATAGAGAACATTTCTTTTATCAATAAAAGATACAGATGAATGGGTTGTTAAATAAATGCTTGAAAAATATGGATTAAAACATGAAGATCGACAAAATTATTGTCTTTTTCAAGTAAAGATAATCGTATAGGTTTTTTTTATTAAAGATTGTTATTTCATCACGTGATCAAATGAATAATAAAAGAATAAAAGAAGTTATTCTTCATGATAAAGAATGTCCATTAAGTATTTGTTTAAATCATTCACGAAAAATGAATCAGATTAAACAAAATTTTTTTTGTTTATTTTCCTAGGTTTAATTATGTTTAAAGTTGTTAAATGTCGACTAGAATATATTCAAGTTGGTAAATGTCTTCGTGCACGAGAATCAAATTTAGATACAATTCAAACATCATCGATACAAGAAATGATCATCGTGAGGGTGTTTGTTCAAGTTAAAAATGATTAGAAAATAAAAAGAATTTTTCACTTAAATAAATAAGACGAAAAACTTCCTTTTTTTGTATAGATGGTACTGATCTTGTAATATATTGTGTATTTAAAATTCATTAAAATACAACATATGTTGATCGTGATGGAAAAGCTAGAATTGGAAAACAATATTTTTATATAAATAATTTTTTTGTTTTTCTTTAATTAAAAAAAACTTCAATATAGATTGATGATGTTGGTATTGATCGTGATCATTGCACAATTCATAATCAAAATGGTATTGTTACAAAAACGGCGCCTAGTGAAGTATGGTTAAA